TTACTTCTGCAGTAAATAATGCGACCAATTGGATTACAGCACCAATGTTTGTAAGGAAACAAAAACAAAACTTTCATAAACTTACAATTTCTGACCAAAAGAAGTACCTTCTTTTTGTCAGAAAGTAAAATAGTACCCCACTTTAATTTGTGATTTCTGACAAAGAGAAGCAAGACAATTGCTTCTTTTCATGAGAAAAAAAATCTGACACTATGTGGGTTTACTTCTTTTTAATGATATCTTAGCAAGTTAACTACTGTATATGGCAAACTTATTCGATCAGAAAGTTTGTCTCATTTAAAGAAACAGTTCCATAAAAAAAAACACCCCAAAATATCAAAAATTGTCAGATTTGGCACACGTGTGCACCTATAAAGATGTACAAAATAAATTCTAAATTTAATTTTTTTTTTCATTAAAAACATTAACTGGGTTCCTAGTAAACTATATCTTTCACGATATTGTCCGAAGTCCAACAAAATGTTGGTATTGCCATTACAACAACAAAATGCTCAAAAAGAAATCACTTTCAGTTTGTATGTAAAACAACAAACTTTCATTAATGTAAACATTATGATCGAAAGAAATCGAAGATCTCAACTCAAAACACTGGGTTTTGTTTACAAATTATGCAACATAAAACTTCATCAATTTATGTCATATTCATTCATGTTCAACAACCTACAGACTTTTATATTGCTCAAGATTTTTAATACTTCTTATTATATTAATTCTGTTTTAATGCCTCAGTGTATTAAACTTCTTATTTATTTACTTCTAACTTATTTTCTAATAAAAGGATCTATAAAATTGTTAATAGGGTTGTGTTAATATCTATTTTGTTAGGTTATAGGCTCATAGTACCCACTTCAATCATCATAATAAAAAATATTTATCTCATCCCAAACTATGCTGCATAATTTTCACATGCAAGAGGGTCTGTACTCCAATGTATTATCAAAATGGACAATTCCTCACAAGGTCTATTCGGCAGTGACACCCACGCAAAACACTATCTACAAAGAGGTCCTTTAGAAAAAATACTGACAAGGTAACTATAACATCCTCAATGATTGCCTCCTCAACTTCCCATAACATATAACTATATGCCTCGCCACCTTCTCACACTCATTTAACACCTTGCGGAGCATGGGTATATGCTGGTAGTAATAATTTTCCCAACGGAATTTATGGCCCAGATAACAATTCTGTAAAATAAAGTATTATTACAATTTGAATAAAGTTTCCATACATTTTAAATAAAGAAAACAAAATCTTATTTTAATGTTTTTTCTGCTCTCCTCTGACAACCTTTAAAAAATAAAGTTCGCTAAACATCATAAGGCCTTAAAACTCAAAGTAACTTGCAAATCAAGGTGTCCTAAGAAACAACATGTTTTAAAATGCCCAAATATGGTGAAAAAATAATAAATCATGAATAAATAACTATTTTCAATAAGTATATAAATGTCATACGTACAATAAAACACACCAACTCAACAGCAAACACATGCAAATACATATAAATCAAATAAATAAATAGTGAATAAATAAATGAAAATAAATAAATATAAGAATAATCAAATTTTAAAAAATGCAATTATAATAAAGCCTTCTAATAATAAGCCATCTTTAATAGACTAATGTGAGGGTTCCATCCCAAAACCAGCATTAGTTATCAAAATGTGAAAATAGACTTTCTATATTCTCCCCATTGTAAAGCTTTTTTAAATGTTGGGTCACTTCTGGAATTAACTATACTATTGCCAAAGTTAGTAAAAGTATGGTCTCTCTGTACTAAAGTATACAAGACTGCCACTTCTTATGCTAATTTAGTTTAACAATTAGCAAAGTACCCTGGTTTTTGGGATGGCATGCCTCATATTGTATTAAATTTCTAAAATCGTAAAAAAAAAAAAAAAAACTTGATACAACCTTCAGATAATTTGACAATCTATAGCTTCCTTTACTTAAAAAAATCCTATGTAAAGACTGACTAACTATATACTGTTGCTCACTTGAGTTCAACCGCAAACGGTACAATGACTCCTGAGTGTATGACTGTCACGCATGTTATGATTTGCCCGTGACGTGTAGGGATCGGCGGTGATAATGAGTACTTTGACACGAGGGAAGTGACCCGCATCGTGAATAGAAACTCAAATTTCCTGATGGCACTGACGATTGGATACATTTTAATAGTTACCATTTTAATTTCAAGGTTTGTTAAAGTGATGGAATGTACTGGCACTGAAGATACTATAGCACAATTGGTATTTTGCTATCATTGTGTATATTAATAATATTATCCTGTTTTAGTATTTTCATGCGATTTGAGATTTCCTGAATAAATTCATTCTTGGAGACATGAAAATTAAGTGAAATGTGTTAACATATTAAACAAACACCATGAAAAAAAAACCTCATTTTAATTCAAATCAATAAATTTAATGAGTGATTCACATTTGATGATTAAAAACAGAGTGCATCGTACTATACAGTATGTAATAACCACATATGTGCACAAAGACAAAATTAAAGTAAAACGATTAAATAAATAATTATTAATGTTTATGGAGATTCATTAAGAGTCCAACTTAATAATTATTTAATTTATAGTATAAATAAACACTCATTTTATTTATGGAATAATTTGAGCAGCAGGAATAGTGGTTTCCTAACCTCGAGGTCAGAGTTTAATCACTGGCTGTGCATCTGACTGGCGATTAGATACATTTTAAAATACAATTTAATTTCAAGGTATTTAAGTGCAGGAATGCACTAAAAGATATAGTGGAGACATATATATTGAGTAAAATTGTGTTCAAAACAAAATAAAATATCATGTTTGAAGAAGATCTGAGTTTTGTCTTTTTATTAAAAAATAAATAAATATTAAAATAAACAATAAAATTATCTTGAATCTTGAGAATCGTATGACAAGACTCTGATTAGTGATAAAGTTTCCATCATTAGCGGAAAGAGAAGGGTGTTGCATACATCTGGATTTACTTAGCAACAGAAAGGCGCCATGTACGTCTGCACCAAGAATAGATAAACTTGCATTACTGTAATAAAAACAGAAGGGTGCTGCGTATGTCTGGACCAAATTTCCACCTCATTTTTGCTATTTTAGTGTTCTCTCTTGTGTTTTTAGTATCTTTGGTTGTAGTCTGTGGGTGGGTGACAGACAGTTTAAGGGTGGGTAGGTGAAAAACATTCATAAACTCTAAATAATAAGAGTGGATTTTAAGGATGGAAAAGTGAAATAAGGGTGGGTGGAGGCCCATGAAATTAGCTTTATAGCTTCAAGACTATGTGGCCCCACCCACCTACGTCCACCATAACTACATCCCTGTATAAAATCGAATCCATAAAATGACAATTAATATCATAAATATAATAACAATAAAACCAAAATTAACATTGAACATGCAAAGTCAGACACCAGTATTTCCTCCGCCAACCACTGCTTATCGAGTAATTAATGCATCGACTATTTCCATAGAAACTTTGTGTCGTTATTACCTGGTGAAGTATAAAGGGTTTGAGCTATGTATTGCTTGGCGCGCAACAAGAACAATGACTCCTGATTCATTGTGCATTTTCACAGCAGCAGAACCGTGGAAATATTCAAATACGATACACACTGTATACAGGCAAATGGGTACTATAGGCCTACTGATAAAATAATTTATTCACGTCACCACTCATAGCACTGTCTGGCCTGGTTATCAATAAATGTGAATTTTCACCTGGCTCTACCTTTCTTCATGTATTCATAATTTTGGTTTCAATATTAAAAATTTCTCAACAACAAATGACGAGTTATTCTTTAAATTATTTCATAATAATAGGCTACTGATTATTATGACTGAAACTTTTGACAGGATATAAAAAACAGTGTTCCGAAAAAATTCAACTTATCAAATTTATTGAGATAAAGGAAGCGAACTTGAGTGGAAATACACTGTTGAAAATGGAACCCTATTTTGCAAAATGGAATCATCCAAAATTTTGATCAAGTATCAAAGTACTCATCAGCAACGGATTAACATGATATTTTTAATTGCGAGTTTATGGTAGTCTTAAGGAAATCACACACTCGGCAACTTGCAAGTTGGGCGAGACTTTTTTATTCCTTGTTTCATGTTCTTATTTTTTTTTAAAGATTATCGGAGGAGGGTGGAATAAAAATAAAAAAGAAAATTTTGTTTTCTTATTTAGCAAATACTCTTGCTAAAATCATCCAGATGGAGGAGAAAACAAAAATAAAATTTTATTGGTATATGTAAAATAGGATGGTTAAATGCTTCAAATTTATATAATTAGCAAGAAATTTTATCTTTGGCGATCAAGGTAGCGGAGGGCGAAATAAAAATAAAGAAAAAAATTCATGATATTACTACTGCATGCAATGTATCATCATCAACCAGTCTCCTGGATTTCAATTTGCAATGACGGGGTACCGGGTATCCGCGAAAAAAAGGTAGGTGAATATGGGTAATAAAAGACAGCTCATAATTAACCAGATGTCCCAGAAGTTACTCCTTTCAACTTGGGCTCTGACATTTTTAACAATTATTATATTTATAAATGGGAATGTAATCATGCCTGCATCACGACCATTGACATTGGCATTATTTAGTTTATGTCGTTACGTCTGGCGAGTGGTAGCATTTATATAGGCTAGGCTAGGCTAGGCCAAATTTCATTTTACAGGCCTAGGCCACAGACTAGTGACATTTGTTAATCTAGGCTAGTACTACTAGAGTAAATAGGCTAGGCCTGTACCTGGTCCATCCGAAGATCCAGAATACACAGACAGGCAGACAGACGGCCGCATAGGTAAGTAGGTTCGTCCGTCCTGACAAGGTCATGGCAGACCCTAACTAACCCAAGGTACAATTATCAATAATAAAAAAAAAAACAATAGCTTAGCTAAACAATTAAAACAACTATATTAGCTGAATTCTTTGTTTTGCAAAATCACCACCTACCTTTAACTCCTAGTATTCAGTAGAAATGTTGAATTTTAACCCACCGGATTTAACAACCTTCCTTTTGTAGCTGTCTGCTAACTTTTTTTATAGCCTTTATCAAGAGTTATTCTTTACTCTTGTTAGAGCGCCACCTACAGTTTAGAACAGTGAAACTGATTTGATATTTTTTATGATAAAAGTTGTAATGAAGCCGTGTTAGTCTAAACCAATATACACAGATTATATTTTTTATGCTGCACCTTTTTTTATGAACACCTGCAAAAGCACTGGAAAAACTTTGGAAACTTCAGAAAAAGACTGCCAGGGTTATAACCTTCTCAAAATCTAGGCAGACATCTGAACTATTATTTTAAAAATTAGAAATACTCAATAAAAACTTTGTCATAGAATTATGTCAACTGTCAAATGTGGCGAATTAACGTGCAACGTGTTCTACATGTTTTCTTTACGATTATGAAATACATGTTCCATTAACAAGACCGTCACCGTCAGCACTTTAAACACATAAGTGGACCCAAATTATGAAATTGTTTGTTGGACAAAATCCCGCATATTTTATGTAAAACTTACAAAGGTCTAAATTTTTTTTTAAATATGTATACGGTTGTTAATGTACTTTATATAAGTAATGTATACATTAAACATGAATGATATCATTTGACAATTTGATTTGTCATCAATTATTATATTATTAGCAATATGCCTTTGTTGATCAACCAATTGGTTTTAGCGCCTTGAGCACTACTGCAGTGGATTTGTGCGCTTTATAAATCTTATTATTATTTATTATTATTGTGGTTTCTTTTCACTGTTTTTGACAATTGCGTGTTTGTATTTTGTATAAGGGGCACAAACCGACAGTATTCTGTCTTAGTTCAGGTTCACACGGAGCCAGTATCCAGTTTGCAGCTGTTAGCGCTAACCATTAGGACCCATGTGACAACCCCGGGGACAACCCCCGATCGGTTAGCGCGCGCTATCGGTTAGCAAGTCGAGCATGTTTCTATCATAAACCAATCACACGTACGCATTTCCAATTTCCAGTTTCCTATTGGCCAGTGATCTAATCATCACCCTATTGGTATCAGAATCGGGGATTTTCTTGTATGAACGCACGGGTAAACACGTATATGTTTGTAATCCGGATCCCGGTAACTGTTAGCTTCCGTGTGCGAACATAGCCTTAATGATGTTGACATTTTTCACATTTAACCCGGAATTTATATTTGAGAGATTTTAATCAGTACTAGATGCTTGCGATGGCATTGTGGGTTCTAAACTTTTTAGAAGTTATGGTTGGTTGTCAGTGGCGGATCCAGAAATTCAAAATAGAGGGAGGCCCGGGTCTTTCACAGAGACATTAGACAATCTTAGCCCCACCATTGTTGGGGCTGAGGAAGGAAATTTATGATTATGGGATCTCCAGAAAGCCGGAAATTGCACTCTCATCACAGACCAAAATTTGATTATAATTTTCCTTTTGTCTTCATTTTTTTAAAGTAATTGTGAAAAATGTAGGGAGATCGGGCATGCTCGCCTAACCCCCACTGATTGTTAAGTTTGATTGAAACTCCTGAAACGGCATCTGTTTTATGTAATGTGGCCTATATTATGGTATAAACAACAAATTGGCCTATAAGTTTAATTAAATTGTATTTTAGAATATTCCCCTTTCTCCACAACTCGATTGCTTCATTGATTGCGTCTTACATCTCGATCGTTCCATCTTCTAACAAACATATACTCCTATAGGAACACGTGAGTATACAGCAGAAACTTACTCTAAATATAGAATCAGTCAAGCGGTTATCGGCCATTGGTCATCTGTCAAGACAGGTCCAAATTACCAACTGCCCTGATGATGTTGGATGGAACGTGAAATCGTGTGATGAACTTTATGTTCTCTATGAGTACCGTATCTAGGAGTTGGAGTTAACTTCGAGTTTACTACGATTTGAGGACTTGTAGCGCTAATTTTGAACATGTTCAAAATTAGCGCCACTTCCCGAATCGTGCTACACAGTATACTACAAAATGCCATCAGGAGGTCCTCATAACGTAAAGGTCTTTTGGTCAATATTTGGTGGGAGATGCGGGTCACCAGACCTTCGTGTAGTAAGGTCCCTACTCCATGATGCACAGACAGGATTATCGTTAGGGGATGTGAGTCAACAGGACCTTGTTCCTACTCAAATGCATAGTTCAAATTTTCTCTATGGTTCAAATAAGTTATGGTATGCAGGGTCACTATAGGACCTTAATGGAGTAGCGTCCCCACCCCAAGATGCATAGGTCGGTTAGTGGAGTAGGCCTATATGGGTCATCAGGAGATAAGAGAAAATACAATAAAACATAAAGAACAATGATGACAAAGATGAAACAACAACGTCCTCTATCTTGTAATTTTAATCAACAAGCATCTGCACTTTGTATTGTCGCATGCACAATACTAACATAAAAAATGTTCTCCTTCAACACAGAATTTAGTGTATTTAGGGCTTCGCCCCCTGGTCTATTTTCGAAACATTTTAAGCGGCGCTCGACCACACCCATTTTGCTCTCGTCAGGGAAATTTCATCGCCCCCCGCCCCCTTCGGGGACCTCGGACCGCCGCCCCCCACCCCCGTTGGGCAAATCCTGGCGCCAGCGAAAAATGATAGAAACCAATTTAGAAGTGTCTTTTTATTATAATTTTCCAGTATAAAAATCAGTGAACAAGTCAACAATGTCTATGCTCAAAACAAGTTAATAAATTGCATATTACTTCAACATGAGCAAGTTAGTTTCAAAATTAATATTTATGATTTTTTTGTCATTATAATTGGGATAATAAATCAAAATTAGAGCATCGTTCTAATTTTGAACAAATAACTGTAATTTTTGGATTATGGATTTTTTTTAAGCCTGAGGTAATACAATAGACTTCTTTCCTTGATTAAGGAATTCGTTGTTAGTAAGTTCTATATTTACTATAATCTACATAATATTATCAATGCCGCAAATAAATGGATTTAGTCTTAGCCTACCTGTGTATAACTTTGGTGTCAACATACTATCTATCAATGTGCTGTACTTGGTCGAGTAACTTACTATCATAGGCTTTTATATATTATAATTTTAAACTCACATTCTTTAAGGCCTACAAGTTTTCATTATTAGCATTGTGTGCGAAGATTTTTTAAACAGTTATTTGGATAGCATATTATGTTATTACAGTAGAAACCCTCCGTTGGGACACCCCTATATGTATATCTATTACCACTAAGGGTCAACCCCTCAGGGGACACCACTATTAAGGAAACATTTGTTTTGGTCCCGAAGGTGACCCCTCAATAGGGGTTCTACTGTATTAATTTTCAACTTCATTAAAAGTTCCATTTCACAAACTGTACTGACATAATTAAATAGAAATCAATTGCTATGAAAGAAATCTATCCACACCTCGTTCATGATCTGCACAGCGAACTTCGTTGCTGCTGATGTTGGTGTTGCATACAAATAATGCAGAACCAGCCGTTATATATACGAGTCTGCACTACTTGCTAGGCTTACTTTCGGTTGACAGATGGGTTCTTAGCACTACTGACAATTAAAATAATTGATTTAAAAGAATCAAATAAATTATTAGCTTCCACAAAGAAACAGATGGAAAAACTGTTTTCACCGATTTACAGACTTTTACTACAAAATCCTTAAACTGATTATATTTTGAGGTATTTTCCTGTATTTTAACTGATATTACATCTTTAACTTAAGATAAATGTTATTAAAACATATCAGCCTTATCGATAACTGACATTTGCAGGCCTATTTTTCACCAACCACCTCTAATTAGGCCAAATTTGAAATTATAACTTTGTTGTTGTATCCTTGAATAATAATAATAATAATAATAATAATAATAATAATAATAATAATAATAATAATAATTCTGGACTTACAAAGCATGCACTTTAAATTGATAATTATTACACCAATGCTAAATTTTATTTTCAAAAATGAAAACAATCGATTTAAGGGTAAAGGGCCTCGTCATTTTTGACCAACCAGGCTAACACAGTCATATCCTAAAAATCAAGGCGTACTTATTTTCTTGCAATTCTACCGCAGCGACTATTGCACAGAGAATCGGCTAGCCTCTTCTATCTAAGTGATCAGTTTCGGTGACAAATAAAATGCTGATAAACACTTCTTTACTGGTGACAGCACCAAACATCAATCATCTGATCAGAATCCCCTAATCAGGTTTGGTGACGGCATCATGAATGGTCATGTCACCGAACTGATACTTATCAGATCTATTAGGTAGAATCGGGTATTAGGTAGAATCGGGTGAATCGACCTCACTGTATTTTACAGAGCAACGACTTTCCTCCACGTCCATTCACTACACGATGAGAGATTAATTGGCCAAAGCCGGAAAAAGCCTTAAAGTCCAGAGGCGTATGTCTTTTACATGGATAATTCCCTGCCAACTGCTTGGAGAGTCATCCTTGTGCACAAAGATTAACTCCTAATGTCGAAGAGTTATTATAAACGTTAAGAGGTGTTGTAAGATGGTCATTGAATTCATTACTGCATTCAACTTCCTCAGGTTACTAACTGTGAGTCGAATAATCCGCTGGGTTTTTGGTAAATAGCTGAATGTAGGTCTATCTGCCGAAGTATTATATTCCTTGTGACATTATATAGGCACCACTTTGATATGCTGTACATGAAGGATACACATTGCTACGTTCTGGTTGTTTCAATGTGTAGGCGTCTATTAATTCCTTGAATGCAATATATTTATTGATAAGCCGGCCTTCCGTGCATTTCTCCAGACCCCAAACCCATGGCGGCAAATAAGTTCCACTGAATGGGTTAGAAAACTGAAAATGACCACTAAGTTTTCATTGAAAAGGGAATTGAGTTCACATTCTGAGATTTAGCTCCGCATTCTTAATTTTTTCAAATACTCCCCCCTCCCAAGCCGGAACCAGGCTGCATCCCTGACGCGCCATCGTAATAATCAAAGGGTTCTATATGATTAGTGCATGATTCGACGGTAGTATCTTCATAATCATCACCGGCTGCTACGAAATGGACCTTATCTGAATTTAAGGACAAAAACATTATT